GACAATGACCTCACGGTTGACCAAAGCTTGCTCACACCAGAGGTGAACTTACAAGTCTTCAGATGCTCCTCCCGTCAGATGCAAAACCGTCTAAATCGCCGTTGTGGCAAGAATGAGATTTGGTAACCCCGAACTCCAGGCATCGAGATTTTTGCATAAAACTCGTAAAATCGTTATTAAAACAACAGATTTGTAAAATAAAGAAAGCCCGTTTTTTCGCTCTCCTGTAAAATTTGAGTGCCGCAAGATAGCGGTTTTGCAATTGGTCTATGAGCGGTTTGGCAAAAACATCGACGGTATGTATATATATTAATTTTTACTTCAAAGGCCTTTTTAAGGAGTTCTTTTAAAGATGCTTCTTTAATTTATAAAAATCATACATCTTTTAAGTATTTGCTTACTGTTTATAACAAATATGTGTTATTGCAGCTTAAAATGTTTATTGAAATTCATTTCAAAATTGTAAATGAAGAAGGGCTTCTTCTAGAAGGCATGCAAGGAAGCACTATTTTCAGCCCTTCTTGGGTAGGTCTCTTAGAACTTGCTTTACTTAAGAAGGCCTACCTAAATTATCTTCTGAGATGTGCGCTAAGAAATAGTTTTTCGCATTCTCTGACAAAAGTGTAATTTTGAGTTATGTCACCTTTAAAGATCGTGTGCGATATGTAAATTTATGCCACTATTGAAGTAAATGAGCGATATGTGTTAGATTTTCTCCCAAGAAAAGTAAATTTTCCGAGCTATGAAATCGATCGAGTCTACGATGGATTCAGTGATAGGCCTGAATGATTTTTATATAGTAAGTAGCCATCGTCGATGCCTTTACAAAATCGCCCATCAATCAGTTGCAATACCGTCCATCTTGTGGCACTCAAACTTTGGGCTAATTATCGGAAAGGTTTTCAAAACCTCAACTGAATGATGCAGAATGAATTGCCAGTTATAAACACTTTTTGAGTAAGTAAAACATGTATTGAAATTATAATTCATTAAAAAATTACTCCAAATATTCTATCCTTTGACAAAAATCGAAACAAATACCTTTACGCAATTACTAACTGGTGAAAGTAATCGTTATATGCATACTCACTTAAGTCTAGTAATAGTATTTCATATAAAGGATTGCAAAAAACGTTATTTACGGTTCAATTACCGTCAGGCACTCAGACATTGCACCCAATCAATAGCATGCCACTTGAGACGTGTTTGAAAGAAAAGTAAAAACATTTTCTATTCAAAAATAAAAACTAAATAAATAAATTTTTGCATAATTTCTGCATTCAACGTACAACTTTCTTTTACTTTCAATTTTTTTTATCAGCAACGAAAGTACCAAATATGTATAATGCAAAGACTACATATGAAAATGCATACATACATACCTTTCTTTAATCTTTCAATGTTTTGATTGTTGTTGTATACAAATTTTGCTTGTAAATACATACTTTTCTGATTAATTGCTAAAGTATTTTACGTTAATTTATGCTATATATGTACTAGCCGATTAGACACTCAAACCAGCCATGAGGGTGCATGCAGCTAAAAACGGCTAGTATTTTTTCTAATTTAATTTCATTTTCATTTGACGTACACGCTCAAGCCAATACATCACACTTCCAATCAATAAGCGTTATTTGCGGCTTAAAACGTTTTTGGGGTGCTGAAGAAAGAAAAGAAAATGTTTTTATTTTGTTTAGCAAACGTAAAAATATCTCAACTGCAGCTAACTAACCCAAAACGGCAAATCGCTGCTCATTTTGTAGCTGTGTGTAATCGGTGTAGGGCGTTGGTTTGTACTGCATCGCTTGCGCATTCAGCAATTCGTCTGTCCATATCGCATCGAAGGAGTCTTGCAGCAACGCCAATAAGTGGCCGTATTGCGTTTGCAGCGCCGCAGCCACCTCATCGCGTTGCAATTCGAGTAAGGCTTTGCATGTGTCACGCACCTGTTGCTGTTGATTGGCTAACTTCATGACTTGATTGTACAGCGCATCGATAAGTGCGATATCTTCGAATGGATTGCCTGGCTTGAGACTAAGCAACTTTCGTTCGTGCTTTCGACGATTCTTGCTCGACCGGAATGTTTTGCTGTAAAGCAGGGTCGTGGATAATATAAATAAAATATTTTAAGAGATGAGTATAAAGTTACTAACTACATATTTAGATTTAACTATTTTGTTGCTACACGTTTACATACATATTTACTTACAGAGCATTGAAGCGTAAAATAAAATATAAATCGAAAATAAGGAAAGTACTTATATTTCTATTTGGACACTTACCCAGTGCCCTGCGAGCTGCCCGTGTAGCGTGATGAACGCAAACTGGTGGTATCAGACAGCAAATCAGCCTCATCAATATCGGGCTGGTCATAGCCATTCAAGAGGCCATCACGCTTTTGCTGGGCCAACACACGCACCACTTGCAAACGCTGCTTGTGTTCAACGAAGAGCTTTTCATCATCAGCCAATTGTTGCTGTAATTGTACAGTGTATGCAAGCAATTCGGGTCGTACTAGCTCATCTAGTAAATTTGCTTCTTCGATGTTTAAACGCGCCTCCAATATCGCTTCCAAGTAGAGATTACCCTTTAGTAGGCACTGAAGCGCTTCCCTAAAGTTCGTGCCATACGTTTTGTGCAGCTTATGAGCTATGTCATAGCGACCTTGCTCCTGCAGTGCCGGTACCATAGATCTAATCACAAGTTAAAAAATCTATGTCAAACATATTTTAATTGCATTTTTCTTGTACTTACAACGCCAACGTCGCTATATCTATGCCATCTTTTTGTGCCAGCATTAAAACGCGCCGCCAATCCAATACATGTTTGGCGCTGAGCAAGGCTTGTGGGAGATTGCCGCCACGCTCATACATAATGCTTGCACTATCGAGCTCATTTTTGGCGCGCAGATGGTCCGCAAATGCCAAACAGATCTGCCGCTGACATTCATCCAAGCTGTTTAGTTGTTCCTCTGATTTATTCTCTTCCTTAACCAACTTATAAAACTGCAATGCCTGCCGATATAGGCCATGACGCTTGATAAATTCCAAAGCTACATCGAATTTTTCGGCGCCGCATTTTAAAATATTTTCCAATGCCTTTACGTGACGCTTCAGGTGTTCATCAATTTTGAATCTACGATAGTTTACTTCTAGCTGTTTTAGTTCATTGAGGAACGGCAAAAATTCTTTGGGATCCTTTTGTGATTTTTGCGCAACGAAGAGCACCAGGCCAAAATCGTATGTGCCCAAAGCGACATTATACAATTCATTGACATCAACTAGATAGAGTAAATATTTAAGTGCTTCCTCGGCTGCTTCTTGAACAGGCTCGTCGGACTTTTTGGCTAATTCATTTTGTTGCTTTTTAACATGCCAAATTAGCTGCAGTGCTTGCTCCAGTTTGCCTAATTTTACATAAGCCGTAATGATGGGCGACCGGAAGCGTTCATAACCGCTTTTTGTCATATGCGTGCACAGCAATTCGCAGAGATAAACTACTTTAGACTCGATATTGAAGTCTTCAGGGTATGCTTGTTCGGCAGCAGTGTAATTGCCAGCGTACATGGTTTTAGAGAAGTCCTTAAGTGAAAATAAAGAAAATTTTAATATAAGCAATTAATGTACATGCACATCGTAAACATACCTCATTTTGAAGATCAGTCAGAAATAGATTTAGCCAATTCGGGTTTGTTATTTCAGATAAAAAGATATGTACATTATTCACGAATCTCACCAAATTGTGATCACAAATAATGTTCAAATTTATGCGCTGCTTTCGCAACATATCGAAGGCATCATGGTAACGTTGTTGGTCCAATAGTTTCCCGATTATCTCCAGCGCCAATACGCGCGGTGAAATGACCTCCAAATTACCACGCGGCATTTGTAGCACGACACGCGCATCGTTTACTATAGTTGTGACTAGTCTGCCGCCCCGCTCCATATTACGTTTGTAAACGTTTTGCCGTGTGGACAGCAATACAAAGTTTAATTCGGTCAGTTTGGTGTACGCTAAGTAGTTTCCTGCCAGGCAGAAAGAAGTCACATCGCCGGACACCAGTTGGCTGTCTATATAAAGTCGTTGATTATTTAGCAAAGCGATCAGGCAATCTCCTTGTGCTGACTGTGTTTGATGCCATTCCATCTGCAGGGCGTTTTGCTCCAGCTGTTGGTATGTTTTGTCCAATTTAAGGCTGTTGGCCGAATGAAGTGAAGTTTGCTCTACTTTGCCATTTATGGTTTGTACAAAGCATTGTTCCAGCATGACAAAGCCCATGCAGCTGCTAACCGCGTTGCTATTCAGCTGTAAGACAGCAGCTATGCTATAAGCACCCACTAGCTCGTCCAATGCAATCAGCAGCACTTTGCTTTTTTCTCCAATGTTAACGGTTGCCACTAAACAGTTTTCTTCGAACCAGAACATATTTGCCAGCTCTAATGGTGGTCCACTACATAAATCTAGCTCAATTTGCATTTTTTGCATAACAGAAACTCTTTCGAAATCCAATGATTTTCCATCGCGATAAACTCGATACAATTGCAACTCTTCATTGGCATCGTAAATGCACAACTGTAACTCCTCGTGGTTATTTTTTGAAATAACACATGCGTTTATATAAGCATCGGAATGAATTTCTTTGCTGCACATCGGCGGTGGCACAACAGCCTTGGAAAAGTCGGTCAAGAGTAACTTCTTGCCGTCGATAACGGCCACAATGCCGCTGCGTGCATAACGATCAAATTCAAATCGCCAGCGATAAATCAAATATCTGCCACTTTCCAGCCAAATATGCAGAGTTTTCTCCTCGCCTATCCTTTGATCCCAGCAGTGGCACAAAAGACGCTCAGTTCTATTAAAAGTGAGTACCTGCTTTAGATACCAATGATAATTACCAATGGTGTAAAGGTACAGATTCTGATTTTGGGTGGACGCATCCAACGTCTCTATTGCGAGTATGTCTGAATCATTACTCCAGCGGAGGCTACGAATAGGCTCGTCGTTTAACGAGAATGGTAATACGATTTCACGATGACGCAAGCCATTCTTTTCGAAGAGAGAGACTGTGCTCTTGTTTGGGAATATTTGAGGCATTGCGATCCATGTCCCCGATGGACGCCAAGCAATAGGTGGTTGCAAATCATTCCAACGCTCGGATATGTAAGTTAGGTCTCCCTCCTTGTTGAAAACTTTAAACATACGACCCGCTTCAGCGCTAACGAAGGATACGGCAAAGTATGCGCCATCAGCGCGCCAGGTTATTTCTATGTCCTACGAAAATAGCATATTTTGGCAAAAGAAAATGCTGGGAAATCGACAAATAACTAACCTGCGCCAACTGCTCCACATGCTCGGGTGGCTTGAAATCGGTTGTCATTTTTGCAGCAGCTTTACCTTCCTTACCATGAAATTGTGTTTCTTTCTTTCCCCAACCGACATTAACGAATTGGCTATCCGGGTCGCACTGCTCCTTCAAAACATGCTCATGTATGACGTCATAGGTGCAAGTCATTACAACGACATTGCCCGATTTTGTAATGAAAACGCCAACCTCTTGATCAGGACTCCATGACATGCACTGCAAACCAACATCACAAAAAGTGCACTCATTTATGGCGCCAGTGCTGGGTGAAACAGCGAGCACCTCGCCCGCTTCGGTAGCTAGGCAAATTTCATTATTTAATGCCAAATATTCAGCAGCTACAATGCCTGGGACGGCTGCGATTTCTTTCGAAATGCCAGTAGATGTTTTTACCTCGTAAAGTTGAGAGTCGGTAACCACAAAGGCAAGTGAATCGATCTCTTTACGACTTGCATTGGGATCCAGCAGCAAATATTTCACATTGGACACCTTGCTGCTCAGTTGTTTACACGATTGCAACTTCAAATTTCGCATTTTAACATGAAAATATAACTTTTTAATAAAATTACGTATGAGAAACCAAACTTCACGAATTTATTGCAAGCGGCAAAGAAATGATAAATGACCGAATACAGTCAAAACGTGCATAGACGTCAAGTTGTTGTTGACATCAGGTGTTTTTGATTTGACACAAGGGAACACTGCGGCATCTGTTGGACAATAGTTAAAGAAAACTTATCCGTAATGAGTCGACTTTTTTAGTGAATTATTTGATCCTAACCGGTTTAGCCAATACGCAAACCCTCGACTTTACAAATTCCTTTTGCGTCATTCGCAAAATCGTGGTGGAATCCACTTTCAAAGGTTGGTAGCGATGCGGGCGTGTTGAAGGTATTTTCCCCAAAGACGGCACGAAAATATTCGTTCGCTGAATTTACAGACGCATTTGTCTAGAAAATATAATGGAATTGTTATTTAGTTTACTTATGTTGTGCTAAAAGTGAAATTCGACATTTAAGTGTTAAGCAAAAAGTGCGAAATTTTTAAGAAAATACATATTTGCTAAATTTGAGACCAGAAGGTGGGGCGAAGAATTTCTGTGGGTCGGTCGTCATTTGGCTGGTATTTTTTCCAATTGCTTGTACCTTATTTTTCCACTTGTTAAAAAAGGAAGAAATAAATAAATGATGTGAAAAATTCCACAACGACAGCAAGTAAAAATGAATGATAAGTGCAAATAATACGCTGAAATTTTAGAGCGAAAACCTTGCAGTAGAGTGAATGAATTGTGTGTTTTGGGAAAAGTTCAAAGTAAAGGTGCAAATAAAATATACTTTGCTAATAAGAAAATTCCTTTGGCTGGAGAGATCTAACATATTCCTGGACACCTCTTGAATACACATACAGGGATTAAAACTGGGAAAAGCTTGTTAAAATCCACTGCGCTCCAATAAATAAGCAATAAGGTAAGTACCACAAAGTAAACTCCATTGAAAAACTAAGAAATTGCAGACGTGTAGGTATTTTATGATGGTTAATGGAGCCCCAACCCATTACCAGTATTGGTTGTTTTAACTAACGAACACCATGGTAATCTGTCAACCCAACTTGCCTTCGCTTCATAATTTTAGCGCGTGGAAATGATCGAGAAGCCTCCAGGGCTGGCACGGTCCAGCAGCCACCGCCTCTTTTTTTTTTAATGTGTTGTGCACGCAATTATTGTGAAGCCAAATGAAGTGCTGTAGTACCAGAGTGCGGCAGTGGGACGTGGTTGGTGGTTTCTACATGTCATACTTAAAAAAAAGGTGTAACCAAGGAACCAGCTATAAGTTGGAATAGCTACCGGAAACAGGATATTTGAAGTACATTTACGACAGCTGTGAAGTAATCATTTTATCTTCCACGTCTGTCGGCACAACTCGTTCCAAGTAACGTATGTACATACATATGTACGTGCGTACGCTGTGGCTGACGATGGCCCAACATCGGGACTCATTCATCAGTGTCACAGTGGTACCGAGTGCTAGGCAGCATGTATGCATGAATCGGGGAGAAGTGTAAAAAGTGAAAAGTGTTAGAATGGCGCATCCACTACAGTAACAACAATATTATAGCTTCTAACAGGATGTAATGGCGGGCGACAACTTCGTTCGTAGTGGATTTAACGAAAATGTTTTTTGTAGGTTCTTTGCTTTAGCTATTACGCTTTCGTGCAACATACGCGCATCGGCGATATCAACAACAATTGTTAAGTGGGCTAAATGGGCGGCAAGATATACCTCAAAGGAGGCTGCTGGCATACGAAGTCTGGCGATTAAGGGAAAGTGCGTGCCGTACTGTGCGCAATTGCTCTTCCTTTTTCATAATTTTCCCAACAGTACAATTGTGTGCTCTATGTAGATACGCATGTTTGCAATGGGCGCGCCTTTGATATATATTTTTTCTTCAACTCAAAGATTTTTACAGACTTTGTGGCTGTGAGGATGATTTTTGTTGTTTTTGTTAATTGAGCTTTTTTTGTAATTGACATTAAATTAAAAAGTTATGAATTTTGGGGATCCACTTGAATGGATGTACTCGAATTTTGATATTTCCGTTAAAGTATCGAGCTCTTGGACTCCAGTTTCGTTAAAAAAAAAATCCATATTAATACATATTTTTAGTAGATTAGAGAATTCAGAAAAATGTTAAACAGAACGCCGGTGGGGAACGTGCACGGCACTCCTTTGATCTCCTGAAAGAGAGTTGACACGGCCCAATCAGCTCGTTGAGGTGCTTATCCCGCGGTAGTTGGTGCTAATGGCGGGATCGCCTCTCTTGTGCATTGGACAGAGCTTACATAAATTCCAGTCGTCGAGCATGCGTTCATCTGACTACCGTCCGTCATCATCGACTGGAGGATCGGGTTCATTTTTTCCACAACTTTCAGTGCTGCCTCCATTCAGTAGGGTAGGAAAGTGCTCCCTCCATAATTTCAGCACGTTCTGTACTTCGGTCATTAGGACGCCATAATTGTTCTAACAGGAGCACCACCTGGTCCTGAAACCTTCCGGAAATCTCCTAACGATTTTGGTTTTAGTTAGCATAATTAAAGAATTCTTTTTGGTACAGACCTGAGCTTCCTCATTAATGCTAATGGCTTTAGTGTTCCAAATTTTTAAATTACAAACCAAATACTTATTTCTTCTTTTATTAAATATTATATTATACTTACCCTTTTAGTCACTTTTATTGTGTAGTGTCTTTTTAACAACAACATTATTTGTGCTCTTTGTTTATTTTGCATTTGTTATTGTTTTGAAGCTGCATGACATTTTTTAAGGTCAACTAGGTTATAATATATTTCATTTCATATAGGCTGCGTTTCTTTATACATTCCGGATAATCACATTTCACAGCCGGAATAAACAGAATGCGTTTGGAATATACGTTAACATATCATCAGGAACGTTCTAAAGAATAAGTAAACAAAAAAGTTTATTCCAAACGTTCAGAATAAATAAAGAAATGCAGCCATAAAAAAAAAAAAAAACAACAACCAAATTTGTTTTAAAAACACTCACGAATCCCCAAGATGGGTACATATAATGTAAAATATTGCAAACACCAAAACCAAAATAAAATATTTAACAATTATGGTCAAATCACTTTTACGAGATTTTGCGTTGAATAAAAAAAGAAGTCAACTAATGTATTAAAACGTTGTTTTATAAAATGGGGGAGCAGCAGCAGTGCTAAGCCAGTTTGAAATCAAAATAACTACATTTGTGTTTCTGCGTCAACATGGATGCCACTGTTTGCTGATGTTGATGGCGCGATGTTTATTTCTGCTGTGTTGGTGGTGTCAATTTTCATGCAAACTCATTCACCAATGTACATACATGTGTACATACGTATACTCACAACAATAAAAATTTCAATTTTATTTAACTACCAAATGTAGTATCGCTTAAAAACAAGTTAAGCGTAGGTAACATAACCTGTTCGATGTTGTAATGCATGTTGAAAAAAAAAATGAACAAAACATAAAAGTGAAAACAAAAGAGTAAGATAGCAAATTTGAGTGATTGCCGACATAACGCTCAATGGATAAAAGCTGAATGGCTGATAATCTACAATCTACCAGCAAGAATTTATTGTTTAGTGATTGATTGTTATTTAACAAGTCGGTCTGATTTCAATACTAATTTTTGATTTAGAGTGCGAATAAAATATGTAGTAGGTATCG